AGGTCAGATAGAAGGTGCTCAAAAAAGAGTTATGCTGTGAACACTGTTTTAACAGGGCAGTCAACTCTGCCTTGTGACAGACAGCTGGGAAATGTAGCTACTGAGAGACTGACTTGTATCTGCATTCAAGTACTTGTGTTTCATGCAAGCACAGAAATTGTACAACAGGAATTTAGGGGATGGAGCAGCTGCATTATGAGGAGATATTTCTTTCTTTAGTTTGGAGACATGCAGGCTGAGAGGAATACAATTGAGAATTACAAAATCATGACGGCAGTCAAGAACATGAGAGGAGGACTGTTACTCACCAAACCTTGCAACACTAGAACTATGGGCTCCCACTCGAACTCTGTGAAAGACAGGTTTCAAACAAACAAAAGCAATAATTTTATTTTGCAAACATAGCTGTAGTGAAATTCTGGTGATGTGAGACTGAGGAGACCAATAATATCAGCAGGCTACACAAAAAGTGCAGGCTATAAAAAGAGAACTTATTTATGGACAGCTGTTCCAAAACAGGTACAGGAATGGCCACAAGTGTACATCCCAGAGATCTTAATTCAGTGACTTTGGACTCTAGGGCAGAATGAGAGGGATGTACAACACGAATGGCCAAGGATCATCCTAGCTCCACACAGTATCGCTTGACGTTACTTTCCAAGGCAAAAGGAAATACTAGTCGAGGTGGGCCATAGATTTGACACAATAAGGCATTTCTTACACTTTTATGCATGAAGCCACAGTAGGAGAAAGTCAATGACACTATAGGCCCAAGAAGATGAACTCATTGCAGGAGAGGCAGCTGGCATGGCTTCACCTATAATTGCTGCCAGACCACATATACTTTAAAAACATCTGCAGAAGTTATAATGCAATAGGCATACATATTGAAGAACTTCTTCTGCCCTTTAGAGCATTGAAGCTAAATTCAGAATTGTTTCTGTCCCATGCCAGTAGCTGTAACCACTGAAGTTTTTGGAAAAGTTCCTTGCTGTTCTCCCCTACGCGCAGCTCCTGTCTGTAACACTCCTGCTCTGGAGGAACTCTGTGATATCACCAGGCTTTGTCCCTGTTATAGTATGAACTTCTCCACAAAACTTGCAACAAAACAAGCTCAAGTTATGGCTTCATAAAGGAGGTATTTAACAATGACATATCTGTCTCTTTCTCACAGTATTAGAACACAGAATTTTAAAGGAAAAATCTGTCATTTGCTAGCACTCAAACACATGCTGGCCTCCTCTGAGCACAACAGATTTCACCTGCTTCCTTCCTTTTCTTTTCAGATCCCACAGCTGTGACAGACATGTTACTAACACAGAGCATATGTGCCACATATCCCTTTATCTTCCTCTCTCCATTTCTGCACCCCTGAAGAACAGAAAGGAAATAGAGCTGGGCAGAGTCATCTGGATGTATGCAAGGCCCTGTCCAAGAATCATGAGACCAGAAGGATTGACATATCTACTGCTGGTCCTACTCAACTCTTTTTCCAAAATTTTTCATAATCACATATGTATTTATATACTATCCAGCCCAAAGCCTTCTGGAGCACAGAATTTGCCAGATTACTGTAATTACTGGCTCAACTGCAGTGGTCGCTAGTCTAAACCTAATCAAATGACTTACCCAACTTCATATAATCGGTCAGCAGGGGGATTTATGAATATGCCTGTGACTTCCCAGGAAGCCAGACAAGAAAGATTGATCTAATTTCAGTGGAGCCCACTCCTTTCTCAGATCTGAGGAAACATCTGTTTCCACTGTCTCTGAAGCCTACCCAGGCCAGTAGAAAGGCACAACATTTTTCATCACCAAAATCTAAAAAAATATGACCATACACTAGCTCATTTCTCAGCATTCCAAATTTAACCAGAAATCATAGTGTTGTATAACACAAGAAGCCAAGCACTGCCCTAGAGTGACAGAGATTTTATCTAGCTCCTGCTTCAAAGGCAACTGGACAGCTGAAATTTGTCCCAAAGTATTTACTTGATAGCAAGATTAGTTACACTGGTCCAGTTGCTTAGAAAAAGAGTCACTGGAAATTACAACAGGAAAGAACCTATTAAAGCCACCCATTTCCTCCACCAAGCATCATACAGGTGTAACCCACTCAGTACCCTTAGACAGAATCCATTCAGCAAGGTTGCCCTGAGATAGCAGAGACCTGGTCTGGATATTGGAAGGCTAGTCCTGGACTAGAATCCTTCCAGTGGAAGTGAACAGTGAACAGTGTCAACCATGAACAGCGGAAGTGAACTGTGAACAGTGTCTTCTAACACTGAGAGCAACAAATAAGAGAGCTGGGTTCTCAGCATTATAAGACAGTTGATTACTTTCTCACAAGTGAGAAAGCTATTCATGAGATGACCTCCCTCCAATGGCCTAAAAAAAAGTAATAATCACAAAATTACATGATCCTAAAGTCATTCCAGTTGTGGTAAAGGGAGAGCCATGTAAAAATATTCCTAAAAACAAGCAAACAATGAAATGGGACAGAGACACAAGAAGACTTTAGAGTGTGTTGAGGATAACCAGGCCTTGGCACCAGATATCAAATTCATTCCTTGGCACTGGACATCAAGCAGGAAAGTTACTGCTTACAGAGGCTGACAGAAGTTGCAGTGATGGGAATTGATCTCTAAATTTCAAGTTTTGTAGATTCTAAGTTAATCTCAGGCCGTTTTTTAGGAATTGTTTTACTTTTCATTGTCCTGTGGGAAAATCATGTGATCCTGCACATTTTCATTCCTGACCACTAGATGTCACTCATCCCATTTCAGTTTCATGTCTACGACCACGATAAATTCTCCCGGGGAAAAAAAAGCTAAATAATCACGACGGAGAAACAGACAAATTGTCAAATAGGGCACAAAGTTTTTCCCAAACACAGCCTCTTTGTAAGCATGAAGTAGCTTTTGAATACTCACACTCAAGGTGTTTTGGAGCTGAAACTTAGATTCATCACTACCTCCAGTTGGAGAGAGTATACAGATCAACTCCATAGTTGGAGGCACAGAATTATTAACAGTCCAAATAATTTCCAATTCAAACAGTATAAAGTGAACAACTTGGGTGGAAAGTAACATCTCTCAAGCCTCTGCAAAATCCATTATACTCCCAGAGTGTGAGCCTTGATCCCTGCAGCATATTCCTTATCATAGAATGGTTCAGGTTGGAAAGGACCTTAGAGATCATCTAGTTCCAACTCATCACCATGGCAGGGACACCTTCCACTAGAACAAGTTGCTCAGAGTCCCATCCAACCTGCCCATGAACACTTCCAGGCATGGGGCATCCAACTTCTCTGTTACAGTGCCTCACCACTCTCACAGTAAAGACTTTTTTCCTAATATCCAATGTAAAACTACCCTCTTTCAGTTTGAAGTCATTCCCCCTTATCCTATCACTACATGCCCTTGTAAAAAGTCCCTCTCCGGCTCTCTTCTAGTCTCCCTTTAGGTACTGGAAGGCTGCTAGGAGTTCTCCCCAGAGCCTTCTCCAGGCTCTACAGCCCCAGCTCTCTCAGCCTTCAGAAACCTCTGATCATCTTTGTGGCCTCCTCTGGACTTACTCCAACATGTCCACACCCTTCTTATGTTGGGGTCCCCAGAGATGGATGCATTACTTCAAGTGGGATCTCACCAGAGCAGAGTAGAGGGGCAGAATCACCTCCCTCGACCTGCTGGCCATGCTGCTTTTAATGCAGCCCAGGACACAGTTGGCTTTCTGGGCTGAAAGTGCCCATAGCTGGGTCATGTCAAACTTCTCATTCATCAACACCCCAAAGTCCTCCTCTAGGCTGCTTTCAATCCATTCTTCCATCAGCCTGTATTTGTGTTTGGAATTACCCCAATCCACACGCAGGTCCTTGCACTTGGCTTTGTGGAACTTCATGAGGTTCACACAGGTCTACCTCTCAAGTCTGTCAAGGTCCCTCTGGATGGCATCCCTTCCCTCCAGTGTGTTGGCTGCACCACACAACTTGATATCATTGGCCAACTTGCTGAGAGTGCACTCAAGACCACTGTCCAGTGGTGTCACTGACAAAGACGTTAAACAGTGCCAGTCTAAATACAGATCCCTGAGGAACAACACTCATCACTGGTCTCCACTTGGACATTGAACTTTGACCACAACTCTTTGAGTGCAACCATCCAGTCAACTCCTCATCCACCAAGTGATCTACCTATCAAATCCACGTTTCTCCAGTTTAGAGACAACGATGTGTGACACTGTGCCAGACAGTGTCATATGTCTTACACAAGTCCATTTAGATGATGCCAGTAACTCTTCCCTGATCCACCATCACTGTAAACCTGTCATACAAAGCCACCAAATTTGTCAGGCACGATTTGATCCCCATGTTGGCTGTCACCAATCACCTCCCTATTTTCCATGTACTTTAGCATAGTTTCCAGAAGGATCTGCTCCATTGTCTTTCCTGACAATGAAGTGATAGTGACCAGTCTTTATTTTCTGGGTCTTTCTTATTTCCTTCTTAAAATGGGGGTTGTATTTCCCCTTTTCTAGTCAGTGGGAACTTCACCAGACTTTCATGACTTCTCAAATATGATGAATAGCGGCTTAGTCACTTCCTCCACCTGTTCCCTCAGGACCCAAGCATGTATCTCATCAGGTCCCATGAACTTGTACACCTTCAGATGCCTTAGTTGTTCTTGAACCTGATCTTCTTGTACAGCCATAGGATTCATCCCACCACATCTCTGTGAGGACAATAAGATCATAGCCCTGCAGGCATGTGCACATCTCTAATTCCTCTTGTTTATTCCCCACACTGTGTGCAATTGCATAGTGGCATTTAAGTTGGGCACACACCACACCCTTACCCCAATGAAGCCAACTTACCTGCCATCCCTCTCCATATATCTTATAAGATATTCCCCTAGATAATGCACCTTGTCAGTCCACAGACAGCTAAAAAAATAATCAGCTCTTTGTACTACACCTTAACTTCCATGTAACCCCAAACCTACCTCCAAGATCTGCAGTGATGAAATCTCTCCTCTGTATGAACAGATGTCACTGTGTGTCATCAAGTATGTTCCATAGGATACCTACAAAAAATGAAATTAATTAGTGAGTGTGAAACATAATTACTAGATTAGCAGGTTTCAGCAAACCAGGGAACATGTAGCACAGTAAGCTGGGCACAACAGGACCATGAAGTAGTAACAGCAAAGAAGGGGGAGGGGGAAATCAAGAACCAGATTAACACTGACAAAAAGAATGCACCATTTCTTAATAGTAATAAACCCTTTTTTTCATTAAACTTTTTATTAATATTCTTCTAATACATTCTTCAATGTATTAGAGGAATATTAATAAATTCCTACATTCCTTCCAGTCTATGACACAATAGGACAGATCGATACAGTCCTACTGATTGATGCACTCCTACTCTAACTTCAGTAAAGCAAATCAAGCTGGAAGTCTGATCTATCAAAATTTTATTTGCATTTCCAACTGTGAAAAAGAGTTTCCTTAGCATAACTAATCCTATTGCAAAAATCCGTCCTTTCCAAGCCTATCTTATTATAGGAATTAACCTACTTTCCAAAAAATATGGAAGAAGTTTTTCCATATGCACATAATTTTTACTCACTTAAAATTTCTGTAGCCTAGAAACAAAATTAAAGCAGCTGTGCTTGCTGCTTAAGAGAAAAATCACATTATGTTCCTGTTCTGCCAGTGTCTTCCTGTGTGATCTTGGACAAGTCATTCAGGGCATATTCCACCTCACAGCAGAGAACAATGCAGAGTGCTCTGAGCTGCAGATTCTCAAGCCAGGGAACACACATGGCACAGCACTGCTGCACCTGTATGAACCAGTCAGTGCTGGTGTGTTCACATATCATTGCATGGAGGTGATTACCCGACTCATGAGGTCAGTGATCACCTCTGCTGGTTTCACCTACAATAAAAGTACTTGCTGAAGTTCTTTATTTCATTTCTCCATTTGCAGAATGGGAAGAGTAGCACTTTCATGTTTCACAAAGATGCTGCAGGCATACAAACAAGAACCCTTGGGAAGCATGGACAGAACAGAGTTTCAGAGAGGAGGGAATAGAGCACAGAACTCTAAAATCCATGCAGCACTTGAAAGTTTCTTTTCTGCAATAACTTTATCCTAGGCTTCAGGAGAAAAAAAAATAGCATCTATTACTACTAAATTACAAAGTTAGAAAATACTACTAAATGACAAAGTTAGAACTGAAGACACTAAGGAACCAGCTGTGAAGAGAAAACTGATCAGGACCAACTTGACTTAGGAAATTATAAAAAAATTCTTACAGAAATACCTTTGCTCTTGGGAAGTGCCAGGTTATTGAAATTTCTTGAAGAAAAATAAATTTTTGCTAAGAAAGGTTACTCAGGTTCAAGGAAGATTTTCTGATCAAACCAAAAGGGAGAGGCCTTAATTTCAGAATACACTGACAATCTGTAGCATCAATGATAAGACAGATGAAAGTGCAAATTGCATGTATGACAAGGCTTGGCACAGGGAATTGAACCTAAGGCTCCACATAAGTTCCTGACCTCAGTAGTGTGGGAGTAGTGTCTTCTGTATGTACAATTGAATGCTCACTCTGACCCATATAAGAAAGACACACATTACAGACCAAGTTCAGCACACCTGTTTGGATGTGAGAAATGTTACATTTAAATTTCTATTTCACATTGTTGGGGTTCAAAGCTGGGATTTGAGTTCTTCAAAAAACCTCAATAAATACCCCGTATATTGGTGTATTCATTATTCTGGTTCTGGTATTATTCTTTCAGAAGTATCTGTTCTGTACCACTGTAGAACAGGAAAAAGGTTTTACAGGATCAAGTCTGTTTCCTCTCTATCTCTAGGAGAAAAAAATATCAGACAGACAGAAATGAAACTAAGAATTTTATTATAAAATTCTAGCTTTATCCAAAAGCTCACTGGAGAAGTTAATGAACTTTAAAGCAGGTACAACTATTTGCAATTTGTGTTCCATGATTTTTTTCTAGTGTAACTCGAGGTACGGCAGAAAGCTCTTACTCCTTTGTGATTGCTAAAGCAAGAGTTTTCCACTCACTTCAGAAAACAAAGCCCCTTTTCCTTCCCAGCTAAGTAGAATGCTTTATATGTTAGCTGTACAATGTCTTTTCACTGAAGTTTGATGCAAGACCATATTAGTCTATAGTCTTTCCTGTATGCTCCCTTTCAGTACCTAAAGGAGACTGGCTAGAAGAGAGCTGGAGAGGGACTTTTTACAAGGACAGTAATTACAAGATAATAGGGAATGGCTTCAAGCTGTAAGACTAAAGGTTACAGGTTCCTTGTAATCAAGTAACAGAAGCTTTGCTGCTATCTGCAGAGACAGTCCTGATTAGAGCCAAGGCAAGGGAAAATTTAGGGGCAAAGGTAGAATTCCCACTTGGGGCAAAGATCTACTGTAGCATATGTATACTGCTCAGCACTACACTGATCTCATCAGGGTTTCTGCACAGCAAAGAATTTCACATAAAGACATTTGTATGAGTAGGCTAAAGACAGTACTATGAGCTGGAGAAAACTAAAGACAAAGAAAGGAAAAAACACACAAACACCACTTAAACAGTGAGTTTCAACACTCTAACTGAAATAAAAAAGAAAAAAAGAAAAAAAACAAACAACAATTCAAACACTTAAAAAAGGCAGTTCACCTAATATGTAAAAAGTATATTAGAAAGCAAAAGCTGACACTGAGCCACTGTGCTCTGGTGTTCCACCCTGATATACACCATTTCTCTCATTTAAGTGCAGCAACTGGAATCAAAGAGGCTGTTTGTATGAGTAAAGGTCATTCACAGAAGCCAGCTGCTTACTTCACCATCAAGAGAACCTTTCAAATGGGCAAAAACTTCCCACCTTCAGTAGTCAATACATTAGGCCAGTGATTTTCAGGCACAAAAGAAAGGGCCATAAGGGATTTTAGCAGGTCATATAGGTTCTCTCCCCATGATCAACTCTAACCAAATCATGGAATCATTTAGATTGGAAAAGACCCTTAAGATTATTGAGTCCAACTGTAATGATTCCTTACTGATGGCTGATGAACAATGCTTGAAACTTTTCAATGATATGGACCCTGTATTTTGCTGAGGACATTTATTCCAGTCTTTCACTGTCCTCTGTAAAGTTTTGTCTTCTGTTTAACCTGACTCTTTCACATAACATTTTAAAGATATATTATTTCTCATCCCATATACCCTAGAAGTGTAAGACATATCTCTTATTCAAGAATATTTTTATATCTAAGGACTGTACCATCTCATGCTTCTCTTTCACAAGACTTAACAAAGTCAGCTCCCCCACTTATTCCACACAAAAATCAAGGTTTCATGTAAATATGTTCATAAAACTTAAGTACTGTGAATCCAAATTAACACCATATCTCATATAAAGATTATGCATAGAGAATTTTCGACTAAAAAGCTGTACAAGTTTCTTTCCCATCCTTCCACTGAGCACAGCAGTTCTGTTAACTTGTCAGGTCAAGGCCATCCTGGACTCCACCATGACATCCCTCCCAGCCCATTTCTCTCTGCAGTGGGATTCAGTGAGACACTACAGGGCCCAGACACAGTCAGGCAGCTGCAAACCTCACTTCCTGCCCTTCTGCTCCCCACCTCCTCTCATATAGCCCCCAGCAGAGTCAAGCCTGAATGAAAATATGAGAATCTGCTTGAATTTTCCTACACATTTCCAACAGGTGCAAAGGAGTCTGTGACACACAGGAATTCTTCTTGGTAAAAAGAGACCTTACAAAGTATGTTACAAGCTATCCAGGGTGATACAGAGGCACTGAATGTCTCAATGGCAAAGTTCTGAAACATCAGTTTAGAAAAAGTACAGGTGCTTTTGAAAGAAGCATTCCAAAGACACAGAGAATTAAACAGAATTAATATGTTAAAAACTGAAAGAACTTCAATGGATTTAGATAACAGCTTCAAAGCTAAATAAACTCTGGGAAACAGTCAGAAACATGCTGATTTGTCACATGAGGCTTTTCACAGAGCTCTTTCAGGAATACAGAAAAGGGAACCCACTCTGAAACAGTTACAAAAAAGGAAGTTAGTGGCACAGAGAAGTTCAGATCACAAAGAGTTAGGCCAAGGTCAATAAAGAAAGCACAATCCCTACTCATGCTCTAAGCAACATTCAGTGTTTCATAGAATCATTCAGGTTAGAAAAAATCCTTAAGATCATTGAGATGTTCCAGTTCACACTAAGAAAACGTATGTTAACTAAACAGTGGCCTAAAATCACCATAAAGAAAAAGAAATCTCCACTAAGTGTTTGAATTGCTCCTACACAAAGACACTGTATTTGAAGATTAAAAAAAAAAAACCCTACAAAAGCAAAACGATACCATAACAACAAATGATTGTCAGAAGTAAAAAAATTAAATATTAATCAAAATGTAAAAGACAATATAAAATAAAGTCAACAGTATCACTCACCACCCTTGTTCACAAAAACTAATTTTGGATCCTCTCTAATAAAGACAAAATTCCCAGTTCACACAGAAGAACAGAGAGAATTTATTTTTCTAGTGCAGTCTACACCACTTTCATACTTTTATCAAATACAAGTTCTGCCTTGATTTCTTATCAATGTTATTCATTTTTTCACTAACAGCAAAACTTAAGTCTGTCTTAACAAAATTTCACCCATTTAAACCATTCTCAGGTGTGATACACACAGAGTTTCTGCACAGTCTTCCTCTACAAAGCATAGGCAAATGAAAGATTGACGCTGTTATTTAACAAAAATTATATGATCTTCTGGTCTCTCATCATCCTAGCCACAATAAGGTGCTGCCAGAAATTAAAGGCAGTGTTTAATGCCCACTAAGCAGCCTGCACTGTGGGTAACAGCATCTGTGGTGTAGGGACAGGAAGGTATATGCAGAAGATTTATTTGAGAAGGATAAAGAGTTCTTACTCAAGGAAGTTTAAACTGCTAGGAAAACTAGGCCTGGGAAAAGATCACTACAGGAAAATCCCATTTATTACACCCATGGATGTTTATTATCTGCCTGTTTTGAGAATTAGGATTCCTATGTAAAGATAATACATTGTGAGGTCCTCGCTGAGAGAAAGAGGATGTATAGAAGAACAGGGAAGAACACAGCCTTGAAGTTATGTGCATGCAAAAGTTATTGTTATAAAAGCACCAGAAAACAGGCTTGGGGGCGCTCTTTCACCCACTGTGTGATTTTAGCGGTGTATTTAGGGTTTCCAACTTTGGAATAAACTTTTCCTTAATATCTTAGCCATGGTTTGGTATCTGGGTTTACCTGCATGCATAACAGTTCTCACACGCAGCAAGGAAGCACAAGTTGTGCAGAAAAGGAAGTGAAATCCCTGTCCTCTGCTGTCACCTCAGTTGCTTTCAGTCCCCACTGCAGGGACTGGCTTACTTGGTATGGCTGTGCTCTCCCTTTTTCAGCTAAACAAAGCTTAGTGCCATGGCATTACCTTATAGTACTGATACCCTGCTGCTGCCCAATTATTTGAGTGATGGTAAGAAGGGAGGGGTGCTGCCTAATAATTAACCAATACAAACTGAAGCAAAAATCCCTTAATAAGCCTTATTTTGCGGCCTGCTGATGTTTATCAGCTACATGTCCTCCAACTGAGATTCGAGAATATATTTTAAGACACTAAACATACAAGGATTGTATTTCACTTCTACTAAAATATTTTTATTTTTGAGAAAGAATAATTGCTAATGTGCCAAAAATGCCAACTGATCTTTACAAAATCTCTGGCTGCAAGTCAGGGTTATTAGCACTTCCCTTCTACAGGTAGAAAAGCACAAGTACAGAAGGCAATGTGAACTACCATCTTGAATTAGCGCTGGAGCTTTGAATCAAAACGAGCGTCCTTGCTTCTACAGGCAGCAGTGCCCAGTTTTAGCCAGGGGAGGCAATATGGCTCTAAAAGAAGCATTTAAAGTCTTTGCACCCTGTCCTTTCCCCAGTGCTGTTACTGGAAGCACACCTGCCACTCAACCACAATGCAGATGATGTCCCCCATTATGCCTGTGCCATTGCACCACTGGTACCCTTCCAGTCCCATGTCTGTAGAGGAACTGAGGACCACTGAGGCTGAAGGGATCAAGGACATGGGAGCTTATGAACTGTTCTTACAAAATGCATCCATTTAGAGGATGTAGATTTATTCCTGACCCTCTTTAGATATAAGGAGTCAACTTCTACCAACCACCACTTGCACACAGGTAAAAGGCAAAAGCAATAAAAACTGTAAAAACCTTACTGAGGCGATAAATCAGCAGTGTTTAAGGTCCCCATTCAAGAGAAAATCCTTATTCAGAGACATATATGTTTGAGTATTGCAGAAGTTAACGTAGGCTGCATGAAGTGATGCTGGTGATTAGTTTCAAAGAGAGAAGGAAGAAGCAGGGATACACATTTAGCTTACTTTTCCTAAAGGAAATCAACCTTTCAGCATTTGGGGCAATGTTGAGCTTGACAGAAATACTGCATTCAAGCATTTTGCCTTCAGAAATGATCTCATGTGAAGAACGGCACACAGAGCACTACAGAAGTAGCACTTCTCTCTGAAATCCTCTACCAGGCTCTGTAAAGGTTATACCCAGTTCCCAGGACACATCAAATCCCATGGCAACCGGAACGTATTTCCCCTCATTTCCCATGACCCTTTGTTTGGAGCTCTAAAAGCAAGTATTTCAAGATGCCCTTCAGAAGGTTCCTCGGCAGCTGACCTGGTAATTTGTACACATTTCTTGTACTTGGTGCTTAAGTTACAGAACACTTTTGTGCCAGTGCTTTCAAAATGGACTCATAGAGTAGTGAGAAAATATAGTCAGCAGTCCTGTCTGTGGCAAGACATAGCCTGGCTCTTACAGATGAGGACACAACGATTGTACCAGGTACACACTGGAGGACAGGTTTACAAATCTCCTGCATCGTGTGGAGTACCTCCCATCAGAGTTCGTGCTTC